AGATGAATAATATGAATAGGGCCTACATATTTATACAGTTTATGTATGGCTTATATCATTAACAGATATTTGGCTGTCTCATTCATCAATATTGCTTAAATGTTGATGGCTGTGGCAAATTAAACAAGTACAGTTGGTGAAGTGATGGATTGGGATGTACACGTAAGAAGATATACAGATAAACATTCAAATTATTTTTCAACTTATTTTTAATTTTTGTAAGGTCATAAGTACATGTATTATCATTTCTAAGTAACTGAAGCTGCCTATAACAGTTGATAAGTTAATTATTGAAAAATCAAACAAGTTTAAAACTAGTGATTGTAATCTGTTAAAATTAAAATTGTGATTATGAAAAATATTTGAGTTAATGTCTAAATTAATGGTATTCTATAGTATTATCATTATATCGACAGATCATCTATAGTAATATCATATATCGACATCACGAATGCTCAACGTCTTTCAAAGACTTTTTCAGTCGGGAAAGATATGCATCGAGGTACTTTTTTTATTGTGTTCATCCATGTAGTTTTGGGTCGTCTTCTTTGTCGCCAATTTTTCATACTGTACCTATACCGTTGTTCAATCATTCTTTATTTAAATTATAAAATCTACAAAGTCTGTACGTAAAAACCCAGGACAAATCCTGAAAAATTATTCCTGTAATAGGGTAAGGCAAAATACAAAACGGGTGTAACAATCCCTCTACTATATGTTATATACAATTAACATAACTAAACACGAGCATACATATGGGCCTAACATTACATGGACACGCACTCCATTACTCTTTTTCAATTATTAGTTTAATTATTGCACAGAAAACCAACAACATAACGTCCCCTCCCCAAGAGCAAATGACTTAGCTTTTTCTCCGACACGAACTCTGAGTAAAACAATTATTAAACCAATGAGCATGTTCTCAACAAAGATTTACGTAAGATAAATCTACACATTATTTATATATTCCAAACTAACATACACTATCTTTTTGGACATGCTCTGATCGTCTATTTAGATTACACTTAATTCCTTCACACGTACCCTCATTAAAATCCTATGAATTTTATAATAGAAAATATGCACGGTTATTTTTTAGATTTCCACAGTCAATGTCTAGCTCATTGTAACAGCAAATTGTGTATATTTTCCTCAATGGAAATATTTCATATTGTCACCTGGCGATATATTGGTCCATATATACATGTATATAACTGCTCGGTTGCTCTACAAGTTATGAGGCCAAATTGTATCTCTTGGATTTTCCTATTTGGCCACGCTTTTTCTAAAGGTATTGGGTAATACGCAATAAATAATAATAAATAGCCTATTATGTTATATACAATTAACATAACTAAACACGAGCGTACAAGAGCAAATGACTTAGCTTTTTTTTCAGACACGAACTCTAAGTAAAACAATTATTAAACCAATGGGCATGTTCTCAACAAAGATTTACGTAAGATAAATCTACACATTATTTATACATTCCAAACTAACATACACAATCTTTTGGACATGCTCTGATCGTCTATTTAGATTACACTTAATAGTATTCATTCACACGTACCCCCATTAAAATCCTATGAACTTTATAATAGAAAATAGGCCTATGCACGGTTATTTTTTTAGATTTTCACAGGCAATGTCTAGAAACTCATTGTAACAGCAAATTGTGTATATTTTCCTCAATGGAAATATTTCATATTGTCACCTGGCTAGTGTACTGTACAGTTTGAAGGATCGATCAAACCAAGAGATTTCCGATTTTTTGAAAGAAGGAAGAAATCCCTTCTTCATTCTCTCCTTCAACATCTTCCGGCTGAGTGGCATCAAGGCCAGATTGATGCTCCACAATCCTTGTACGGCGCTTGAGCGCAGTTGGTGTTTTATTCTGTGTAGCGTGTACGTCAGGTTGTTTTTGAGTGATCAGCTTTTCTTGAAATTTACTAAGATTTTTGTTGCGGTTTTCTCGTTTCTTGACTACTTTCTTGTCGCCTGCTTCACGCCCATTAAGTATGTCTAAGGCATCGCCAAAATCCATAACACTATCAAAAATCTCATCGCATGTACCTATGCAATTGGATATAGCTCCCTCAACGTTGCGAAAAAGTTCGAGCACTTCGTTTCTATTAGAATGATATAAAGACCAAATATCAAATAAGAAAAAAATACACAAATCAGATGTGACATAATTACAAGCTACATAAAAAACAACAAACTTACAAACATCAGCTGTTTCCCACAATAATATTGTTTATTTTTATCATTATTCTGAGTCAGAATTGATACATTAACATGAATTACGAAAATGATGACATAAACCCCTGCACTATATAAGTAATAATTTGTTGTAATACGAATGCTATAATTTTCATGTACCTTAGATCAGAGACATCCGACCTGATATCGATGACGTCAGACTGAGTTACGGCATCGTCTGTGTCAAATGCAGACGATCGCTTATCGGCTATATACCGAGCTACTAGATTATCCATCACTTCCTGTGAATAGAAACACAATCGTGATGCCGTTATCATTGCATTGGTAATACTGACGATTTAGGTCTAGTAATTAGTTTATTGTGTCACTATTGTTGCTATTATTAACTATATTAATCATTATTGCTTTTGTTATAATTTGAAGTATATTATTATTAATATCATCGTCACCATTGTAATTACAGTATACGGTATATATTAATATTATACTTTTTTAAACTTATTATATTACTAAATGTATTACTGTGACTTTCAAATATCTTGTAAATTTACTTTACATAAAAGTTGTGAAGTAAGCCTATAATATAATTAATAATACCTGGTATTCCTGATTCTTTTTCTTAATTTTTTCTTTGTATTTCTGTAGAAAAATACAAAAAATATCAGGTTTCAATATAAAATATTAATCTCAATAATGATAGTTATATACGTATACATGTTACGGTACTAGAGGGCCGTCTTTACAGGATTATTCAATTCAATTCACTTTATTCCGGAAAAAACAAAAAAAAGTACAAGAAAAAAGCAAACACACAAAACAAAATAAAATGTCACAAATGCTGGCACTGGGGACTCCAAAAGTGAACCTAATCACTTTCTGAGGGATGTCATGTCCCAACCAGCAGTGACACAACTACAAGAACAAATTAATTGTGTAAAAGAATTAGATTCAAGCCATCAGTAAAATTATTGAAACAAGTTGTAAAAACAGATTAACATTAATTTTCAATATTGTTTTCATACAAAAATTGTTTAAGTTGATTAGAAAAAAATCTTAAATCAATAACGCACATGTCTTGAATATTTGAAGGAATTAAATCCCAGACCCTTGGAAATCTAATGAAGGTGCTATTAAAAAAGGCATTAGTTCTGGATTTTTGATGTACAAATTTTAAATATTCAGAGTTTCTGTGACTTGGTGTTGGTAATAGAGATGACGGATTAATGGAAAACAAGTTATGCAGACATTTGACAACAAACATAATATAAAGGTAATTCAGGCGATTGTACAGTAAAGGAATTTTCATGATATGACTAGTCTTCTATGGTATGGAACATGATCTGGGCCATCATGGTATTAATAATAAGTCTCTGACCACACTACAAAGTTTTAGGTGACAAATAATAGTTGTTAATTGTTTAGTAGTCTTACCCTTTTTAGCTCCTTTTCTGCTTTGTGAAAGCAACACATGTTGAGGAAACTTCTACAATTGTCGAATATATGTTTCGGCGTCGGTAGAATGTTAAACGGAATCGGAAGCTCTACTTGCTTATCAAAGTAGCCAATCCATATAGCCGAGCGACTGAACTTCCATTCAATATCTGAGTTGTCCTGTTAAACAATAGCATCAATTAAGGAAACGCATGCAAAACTCAACCTAGAACGTAATGACGTCACCAATAATTCATCTGCGCATGCAAGGTTAGGGGTACATAATACCAAAAATCTCTGATGTTATAAATTCACTTAGGGGAAAGAATTTCTTCTCAACCAAGGGAAAGCATACCATCAAGGTTTTATAGATGATGAATTACGCCCCCCACCCCACTCATCACCACTTCCGTCACTCCATAGGGCATAATACGAGTGGGTATGAATATGCTGATCATTTGGGCTGAGGAACGCACCGGCTGTTTTCAACTGTATATGGGGAATTGCCTAGTTAATCGCTACCAGACCCATCCCGACTTATGTAGACCTATTGGCATTTTATGCTGTGGTTCATTCATACCTCAACTCTACTAAACGTGTTGCTCAACATGGCGATTAGTAGATTCAAAAGCACGATGACGGCCATCACAGTGTATGTGGCGTACATAAACGTGCCCACACCTTCTGTTATCACGTGGTCAGTATTTGTCTCTAGAATACTAAGATCGCCGAGTCCAACAAGTCCCCAAAATAACGTCTCCATTCCCTTAAAAAAACTGAAAGAAATTGTATAATTTGCTGATAATTATTGCACATTCCCAATAATATCAAAGAGTATAGAACTCCAAGAGGTCCGACTGCCTTGATTTTATATGGAACATTAAAAATTACTGCCACGAGATAGGGGGCGCCATAATAGAATTCGAATTAGAGTTCCTATATAGAGTTCGCCCGAAACTCGTATTTTAAGAACACTCTCCTTCGTGGCAGTAGGCCTACTTTTTTTACGTTTAGGATTTATAAGAACCAGTAACATTTTGCCCATACTCAGTGTACTTATTTTTTTGGCCGATTTCAGTCTAAACATTTTCTTATTCTTTTCTTATTTTTACATACTTTTCAAACATAGTTATTACTTTACTGTATTATAGAGGGTATTACATCTGTCTCTTATACACATCTAGATGTGTATAAGAGACAGATTTACCGCTATACACGCTGCGTAATGAAGACTGCTTCGGATTGTGGCAAGGCAATTCAACAAAAGGACGCACATCTAGCTCCGCTCTCGAACATAGCGCGTGCGTACAGTCCTTTGATCTTTACTGTGGCATATCATCGACAATCCGATACTAGTTGCGAGTACGGCCGTCAATTATTAGCCTATGCGTGCCATACGTTTTATGGTGTTAGTTACTATTTTATTAATTTTGGGTATTTCGCAATGTTACATTTGATTTCTTTTGACCACAAGCTTGTTAAATGCTTCTATAAACTACAATTTGATTCGTAAAAATTGGCCAACAAAATGAAAAGTTATAGCAACTGAAAATTTACGATATTTATACAATTTTTATGTTCTTATATAACATTAAACTGTCATTTTGACAATGTTGGACTAAGGTGCACAAAACGAACATTGAGTAGATACAGAAAATTTCTCGCATGGACGCACTGCAGCTAACCAACATATGATCTAATTATCAATATGATAAACTAATCACTGGCCAATAAGAAACTGTAAATTGTAAACGCGTACCGGTACGTGTGATTGGTAGCAGAGCCGTAGATAGAGAGAGTTTGGCCAACTCTGTTTCACGGGATTCGATATACACGCGTGTGATTGGGTGGATTGTAATCACATGACTTACACCGGCCACGTTGTCACCAAAACAAAGCATTAAATCTATACGCGCGCATGCGCCTGGGCTGTTTGGTAACGACATGGCGTCCATCATGCGCCAAGTTGGCTAAACTCTCTCTATCTACGGTTCTGATTGGTTGATGATAGAAACGCCCTCAACTTGCTAACCATTAGCGTATCCGAATACCGCTAACGGTTAGCGCTAACCGATCGGGCGTTCTCACGCAGGTGCTAACGGTTAGCGCTAACGGTTAGCTCCCGATCCGGATACTAGGGCTCTCGTGAGAACGAGGCTTCAGTCAAGTGTAGGGGCGCGCGACGCATAGAATGTCGATGCCAAAGTTATAACCTTTGATGTGCCGAGATGTGCGTCTTTTTGTTGCGTCCTTGGGTATGGGTTTTTCGTAAAAAAATGTTTTCATCCAGTTTGTGAATTCTGTTAGCCTACAATTATTTTTTGACTTCAATGTGGGTAAATATCTATATTAACGCAAAATGTTGTTGCTAAACTGACTAATCCGCCATATTTGTTTTTGGTCTCGTGCATAAATTAACGCTGATTAACGCATTCTGGTTACGTTAATTTTCGTTGTCAACGAAGTCTATTTTACAAACCAGTCGAATGAAAATAATACTCAACGAAAATTCGTTTTCTACGAAATGAACCAGTGAATAAGCCCGTATTACCTAGCAAATGGACTGTTGAGGCATTCACTCTGTTGGCCTCCATTCTCAATACATTCAAGGATCACTCCCGATGCGTATGGATAATATAGTTGTGTCATACCCATCGTAAAAGCCCACCAAATGACGATAAAGATCAAGAGGAACCGGCCAATATCTTTATACATCCTCTCTAGGGAGATCTCTAGCGGCCCTACGGAACGACTGACGGCGATCAGTAGTAGCAGTCTCAGAAAGCTACAGATGTTACCAATAGCGAACATAGCTTCTGCGATGAGGTTCGGGTCTGCGTAATTCCAGTCAGACCTGCTGTAACGGAAACTATATTTATTGAGGAAATATTCTGAAATACTTTGGTATTCTTCGTAATACAGACTTGACAACGAAGGGTGGATTGTGTCCTTCAGACTTCCATTTTTCCTAATGTCGAACTTTTCATCAACCTCAAGGTAACCAAACGCAGGCTCTGGCGTTATCAGACCATCAATGGCGTCTTTCAGCTGCTTCTGGTCGACTGGTTGTCCACCACAATTACGTAACAGAGCTTCTAATGTCTGTAACGCTAGATTGTAATCATCCGATTCCTCACACATATCAATATCGTGTTTTGGAAGACTGGCATTGCTGTAAACGACGTAACTTCCTTCCTCGTAAAGGTAACATTGTTCGCCGTCGTAATCGTAATGTTTTCCGTCTTTTACGCAACGGTACGACACACAAACAGCGTTATCTAGATCCATCAAACAACATGAAAACAAACTGCCATACAGCACGTAGTCGTTTTGGCACTCAGGAAGCTGGCGACATTTTTCACCGTCCCATGCTGTATCAGTTGGGCACAAAATGGCGGCGGGCACTGTCAGCCATCTGTGCATTGTTGTATTAAGATACCGCTTTACACACTTTTCACCATCGTACATTGTACCATCGTTACACTGTCTACAGAACGGAAACATACATAGATGCTTTTGAATTAATACATTTTGACATACACATTAAAGATTCAATAACAATAGCATAACGTAAGTTAAATAAAATGGCATTATTACTTACACATTAACCTTTTTAAATGTTATATTTGAAGATAATTATGCGGTAAAGTATTTCAGCCAATTCTACTTTTTAACTCATAAGGATGCAGGAATTAAACCCAAACAATCATAATAACGGCATATTTTACTTTAATTTTACGAAAACGTTTGAATTGCCAGGCCTTTCATTTATAAGATTATGGATGTTACACAACTTTTGACGAAGGTGGCTCATCTTCCGAAATTGAATTCCTATTGTTCTATATCCAAGTTTCTTATGGGGCTTGGTGAGTGAAGTTCTTATTTTTCTGTTGTCAGAAAGATAATGAAACTCAAATGCATACCTATTTAAGCAATCATTATAAAGGCTGTATTCCGGATCACAGCAAGTTGTGTTATTTGATAAACTATAGTAGTCTCCAAAGCAGGGTGGGCCAGAGTTTAAGAAGTGGCACTGTTCTTGCTTAGTATAATACGAATCACTCTCTCTGAGTATCTGAAAAGGTGAAATATTACGGGCTATGAGTTTCTGTACTATAGAACAGTGGGACTGTAGCAAATTCACGAATACAAAAAAAGGCTCTTGATAGGCGCATGATACACTCTTTTTTAAAATTAAGAACCAGCAAAATTTTGCCCAGGCTCAGTGTTATTTTTTGTCCGATTTCAGGTTCAAAATATTCTTATTTTGTTCTTATTTTTACACATTTATTATTAAATTAATTATTTATTAAATTATTACGGTACTTTACTGTATTATAGAGGGTATTACATAGTAACACATACTGCAAATAAGGTACAGATAAATTTGTCGGTTTTTATTTAAATAAATAAATGAATAAATAGAAACCTCATTTTGACATTTTACTCAGCCTCAATTTGTTCTTAATTTTGAGCGATTTCAGTCTCAGTGTTCTTGTAAAATGTGTTCTTATTTTAAAAAAAAAAGTGTATTGCATAAACTAGTGTTTTACAGGTACAGTTTGTTGGCAATACTACATCTAAGTTCAAAAGGATCAACATTACTCCATTATCGGACAAGGTGCTTCCTATCACCCATTGGTCATCAGTTAAAACGTAAGTCCCTGATAAAACTACATTCACAATGTACTTGGCATGCCTGTCAATTGAAATGAAATTATATGAACTGAAATTAACCTTACACATTCCATCTTACGAAAAAATACCATGAACCTTAACTCATTCAATTTTACATATATTCCACTATCATATACATAGAGTATATGTTCGCAAGCGCAGTTTACTAAAAAAAAAAAAAACTACATCTTGTTCAGATGTATATAGGATTGTGTAATCTTTAAATATGCTAAATAAAAGAAAACAATTATAAAGAAATATATATATTTAAATAT